TGTATGCTTAAATAACATGCTTACATCTTGACCTTTTGAGGTCTGGTAGAAATCTATTAAAGGAGAGGCATCCAGAAGAGTTAATGGAAAAATAGAATTTAAAATGCAGGATTTTTTTTCCATGAGCTTTTTGTATTTCATGTGATGCTAACTAGACGTTTTTGTGGAGTGCTGTTTGTGACTGGATGTGATTTCAGATTTCAGTTCTGATTAGGTCAGGGTTGGGGAGGGAACCTTTTTTACTGCCAAGAGCTATTTGAATCTTCACATCATTTGCAGGCCATACAAGATTATTAGCCTGCTAGATCTGGTCAAACATTTAACTCAATGAGATGGCCTGAACGGCTTCTCTGATGAAGCATGTGGTGAATGATAGTTGACTTTCTGAGCTGGCCATTCCCCCACTCCCTGTACCATAGTTGCCTGTACCATCATTTGGGAACTAACCCATTGGTCGTTTTCATGATAACTTGACTTGCTACTAGGAGAAACTGAGACTGTCGCAAAGGATCTTTTTTATTAGCCAGGGTCATCAGGAAAAAATCTTTGGCCTGTCACTTTGTTTCCTGGATACTAGAATTCAAGAATGACGTTCAAAACTTCCCACAGAGCACAAACCAGCTGATTCTCCAGGGGCATTCCACCATGAACAGTGATTTGTACTTGCTTTCTCCCAGGGTATGACAGGAATTAAAGGTGGGGGTCACACCTGTCCAATTAGAAATCCAAAACGTGGATCATGAGGTATTTGAATTGACTTTTAAGGTGCTCCCCAAAATGGAAGTGGTGAGGTGGAGACACTAGTGGACAGGAAGGTCAGCTTACTGCCTGCTGACCTTCCATGGTTGTGCATACAATTCTAGTGCTAGTGTTTCAGGAGATTCCTCAGCCTGAAAGGTGACTGGAGAGCACCAAGTGGCTTCTGGGTAAAGGCTCACGAAAATGCCCTCGCTCTAAGGCTGTCCTGAGTTAATAGGGCCCAATTGTCAATTGTTGGCAGGCTGGGGTCCCTAGAGAAGGCACTGAGCACGGACAGGAGGGGCCCCCAGGGGGCTGATGTGAAGGCAAAGTAGAGGTGTGAAGGGTGAGGCTTCAGGCCTGGGCTAGGAGGCTAGAGGAAAGACTAGCTGAGCTCCACAGATTCTGTGTTAGGGGGTGAAGCGGCTTCCTGGATGCTTTCAAAGAGGGCAGCAAGTTCTGGGTTGGATCGGATTTGGGAAGAGAAGTGAGCCATGGTGGGGCTTTCTCCCACTTCAGGGATGGCCAGCAGGGCGGCCACAGCCCTCATTGCTGAACGCTTCAGTTCATCTTGCTTCTCAAACTCCTGTTTGACGGAACCAGCTTTGACCTAAGTGTAAGCAGAATAGAAAAATGAGCACTTCTTGATCCTTCACTGAGCCTGGCCTCACACCATAACTGCGCTGGTTCTGGCTCCTCTCGCCACTGGCAGCTTGAATGCTATTTCCATGCTCCCCGACTTTCTTTCCCCAGATGATAGTTCTTGGTCAGCTTCAGGATTGCACGAGGAGCCTGTGAGCAGCTGATCTAAATCACCCTCCCCACATTTACTTTAATAATTTGATAATGACCAATCAGAACACACCCATTGTGACTCAGCAACCCAATAAGACAGTAGATCGGGTTTCCAAGACTGCGCATCTTTATGGGAGCAGACGGCCTCATCTTTCTCCCGTGGAGCAGCTGGTGCGTTTGGACCACTGACCTTGGATTAGCAGTTAAATGTTTAACCCACGGCGCACACAAGATGACAGTTGCTGAAAATCAATTTTCTTGATGGTTCGTCTCTACAAACAGATGCTAGCATCGTTTTTGAGCTGATAGTAAACTGCTTGACAGGAACTGACAGTCTTGTAGCTCACTCAGCCCTGCGCCTGCAATTAGTTCTACGAAAGCAGTTGGAGGGTAAACATCTGAGACCTTACATGGTTTCTATTTCCTTGCCCCCCGCCCCCCCACTCTCCTGCTGATTCAGAGAATCCCAATAATCCTATGGCTTATGGAAGAAAGACCAAACTCCTGCATCTGAGGGTAAGGCCCTCCCTACATCACACAGACAACACGTGAACTCTCCGTAAAGAACCTAATTAGTGGTGAAGAAGTTGACATTAGGGTTGAACAATTACTGGATCAAATGGCCTTTGTCTCCGGAGATCTGTGGCTTCTGGTAAGCACTTACTTGAGCCTCATTTCCCCATCTATAAATCAAGTGACTGAATCCCCCTCCCTGTAGGATTGTAATGGGTATTAAATGACTTACTAAATGGTCCACATTCCCTTCTCTGAAACCCTTATTTAAAAATTCAAAAAAAATTTTTGGATTTTAGAAAGAATACTGCAAACGTGTAGCAACGATGAAACACTACTTTCCTCTAGTTCCTAAATGCTTCCTCCCCTACCCCCACTATCATGATCCCAATTCTACCTTACAAATCTGGCTAGACCAGAGGATGTACACTGGTACAGATAGGAACTGGAAACGGAATCCAGGACAGATGATCCCTTCAGGACCAGTGGTGAGAGTGGTGATACCTGGATGGTGGAGGGAGGGTGGGGTGGGAAGGGGGAACTGATTACAAGGACCTACATATAACCTCTTCCCTGGGGGATGGACAACAGAAAAGTGGGTGAAAGGAGACATCAGACTGTAAGATATGACAAAATAATAATTTATAAATTATCAAGAGTTCATGAGGGAGAGGGGAGCGGGGAGGGAGAGAGAGAAGAGGGCAAACTAGTTCCTTGAAAACTAGTGCCCTCATATGTGACCTCCTCCCTGGGGGATGGACAACCGAAAAGTGGGTGAAGGAAGATGTCGGACAGGGCAAGATATGACAAAATAACAACTTATAAATTATCAAGGGCTCATGAGGGTGGGCGGAGCGGGGGGAGAGGGGAAAAATGAGGACCTAATGCCGGGGCTTACGTGGAAAGGAAATGTTTTGAGAATGATGAGGGCAATGACTGTACAAATGCGCTTTACACAATTGGTGTATGTATGGATTGTGATAAGAGTTGTATGAGCCCCTAATAAAATGATTTTTTTAAAAAAAAACTAGTGCCCTAAGGGTCTCTCTCTCTTTCTCTCTCTCTCTCTGTCCTCTTTAAGGCCCATTCTAAAATACTCTGCTCGCTTTTTAGTTAATTTCTCCCCTAAGCACCTGTTTTAGTCAACAGGCATTCAGCCCTAGACACTGACCAGGTGTAGCAAGCTCTGTCCCAACCCCGCCGCTTCCTGTGAGGGCTGCTCCAGATCCTGCTCCCGGACCCTTGAGACACTCAAGTGTCCCGGCAACTTCGCCCTGTATCAATCCATCCAACCTTTCCACCTTTCTAAGCGTCCATCCCACCTTCCCAACTAGGATGTGAGCAGCTGAGCGGAGAGAGCCCATTATGCTCAATGGTGTCTCCCCAGTACCTTAGACGAGACCTGGCACCCAGGAAGTATAATGAATGAAAAGTCTGGGCCCTAGCTATTGGGCCTGGGTCCCTAACATTGCCTCTCTTCCTGTGTGCAGACAGTGGGAGAAAGAATAAGCACTCTGAAGGGTCAGTGGTGCGGACCCCTGGTGGCAAATGGTGAAGCACTCGGTTGCTAATCAAAAGGCTGGTGGTTCTAATTTATCAGGGGCTCCATGGAGAAAAGGCCTGGTGAGCCGCCTGGAGAGATGACAGCCAAGGAAACAGCCGTTCTCTGTCACGTGTGGTGTCAGGAGTATGAGCGAAATCGATGGCTCACAACGGCAAGAGCAGAGCCACCATCAGAAGTGAAGGAAACCCTTCACACAGCGCTTGTAGGGCAGAGCCACTCATGAAGTGGGCTCTGATTTTGCTGAGGCCTGGTTTAGGTGTGCCAGGTACCGGGCCAGAGCGAGGTAAGGGGCTTACCTTTGCAGTGCAAGTGGCCTTGAGCGGCTCAATAAGCCGGTCCACCCTCTGCAGGACGGGAGCGGGGCACAGGGTAGCCAGTCGAGCGAGCATGATGAAGGTCAGCATCTGCCCAGGAGGAAGTAAGCGGTTCTTGGTGAAGATGGCCCAGAGCCACAGGTCGGTGGTTCTGAACCCCCAGGCCTGGACCCCCAATCCAAATTCCACCACCAGTTCCCTCTAGGGTCCTGCCTGAGTTGATGCCTCTCTGGGCCCGTTCTTCATCTGTAAAGTAGGAATGGTAACACAGGCTTTGCCAGTCCTGGGGGGATCAGGTAAGTTACAAAGAAAAGGGAGAGGATCTATGGAATAGCAAGAACTATTTTTGTAAAGCATACATTCGATATCCAGAATATATACAGGCGGTCTCAACAATAAAAACACAGCTCATTTGAAGATAGAGATAAAGGGCTTTCGACCTTTCTCCAGAGAAGACATCCAAGGGGCCACACAACATGAACCATCAGGGAAATGCAAATCAAAACCATAAGGAGATGCTAGTTCACCCCCACCCACCCCCAACTAGGATGGCTATTATTAGAAGAAGAAAAAAAGAGAGACTGAAAACTAGTAAGTGTTGACCAGGATGTGGAGAAACTGGAAGCCCATGCATTGTTGGTGGGGATGTAAAATGATGCTCTCACTGAGAAAAGGAGCCCTCCTACGTTGCATTGGGCTGCTGCTAATTGCAGGGTCAGTGGTGGGCATTCCACAGGCGAAAGACAAACCTTCTACTGCAGTAAAGACTTACATACAGCCTTGGGCAGTTTACTATACTCTGTCCTACAGGGTTGCAATCAGTCAGAATCAACTCAGGGGCAGCGAGTGAGAGCGAGCGAGCGAACAAGCTAAACATAGAAATACCTTAGACCCAGCAATTTCATTCTTAGGTATATTCCCAGAGGAATGGAAATAGGTACTCAAATATGTGTACCTCCCTGTTCATAGTAACATTATCCACACTGTCCACAACAGTCAAAATGTAAAGACAACCAGCCCAAGTAAGTGTTCATCAGAACATAAACAGATCAACAAAAGGTGGTACACATTCCTGTAATGGACTTGGTCCATTTCTCTTGGTCATAAAGAGAAATGAAATTTGGACATTGCTGAACCTTACAAACACGCTGCTCAGTGAAATAAGCCCACAAACAAGTTTCTAAAAACAGGGTATAAAGCAGTCTACATAGGTGCCACCTCATTTCTCTGCGATGCATATGCATATACATAGCTCCATGGCTTTGAAAGCCAGGACCCTGATTTCCCCTGTTTCCTTCACCTGTGTCCCCAGCACCTGGCAAACACCTGCCACCCATAACCAGTGGTTGACTAGAGACAGTAATGACTGCTGTGTGCTCAAACTGATTCACAATAGGGGTGGAGGGGAGGCTTGGGTGCTTCTTAACCAAACCAATTGCCATCAAGTCGATTCTGGTGCAATGTGACCAGTGTACGGCAGAGCAGCACGGCTCCATGGGATTTTCTTCGATGTAATCTTCATGTAAACCGTTTGCTAGGCCTTTTTTTCTGCAGCACCCCGGGTGGGTTCACACTGCCAACCTTGAGATTAATAGTCAACCATAAACCTTGAGTATTACTCCTTTTGCGTCATTGGAGTCTTTTAAGGCAAGCAAGCCTTCGGGTTCTCATTATTTCAAATTAGCTATTCATTACAAAAGAGATTCAGTCTCATGCTAGCAGAGCATAAAATAAAACACAAGCCTCAGCCCAACCTCACTCCCACGGGTAGTAAAATGCCTCAAAGTGCCAGGATATTCTGCAACTTGCTTTTACCATTCAACAGTGGGTCTTGGCAATCTTTCCATGTCAGTTTACAGAAACACCCGTCCATCTGTCAGTCTGCTGTACTGCGGTGGATTTCATGTTGCTAGGATGCTGGAAGCTATGCCACCAATATATCAAATACCACAAGTCACCCATGGTGGATAGGTTTCAGCAAGCGCTTCATGACTAATAGTAGACTGTGAAGAATGAAGAGGCTGATGACGAAAAATCAGCCGCCGAAAGCCTATGATTCGCAGCAGAACAAACACTGCCTGATACAGTGCTGGAAGATGTGCCCCTCGGGTTGGAAGGCATTCAAAACACAACTGGGGAAGAGCTGCCTCCCCAAAGTAGAGTCGACTTTAATGACAAGTTCAAGAAGAATGGCACTGCATTCCTCATCGAAAAGAACATTTCAAGATCTATTCTTGAAGTGCAAGGTTGTCTGTGATAGGATAATGTCTATATGCCTACAAGGAAGACCAGTTAATACAATTATCATTCAAATTTACTCACCAAACACTAAAGCTAGTAATTAAAAAATTGAAGGACTCTGTTTTACCTCAATCTGAAATTGATCAAAGATACAGTCAAGAGGCCTTGATAATTACTGATGATTGGAGTGAAAAAGTTGGAAACAAAGAGACAGAAGCAGTCATTGGAAGCTATGGCCTTGGTGACAGAAACACAGCTGGAGATGGCATGGTAGCATTTTGAAAGACCAATGACTTCTGCATTGCAGATACCTGTTTCCAACAACAAAAAGGGTGGATGTGCATGGGAATTTTACCAGAGTGCCTACACAGACATCTAGTTGACCACATATGTAGGAAGAGACAATGGAGAGGCTCAATATCATCAGCCAAAACAAGAGCAGGACTGATGTGGAACAGACCATTAATTGTTCATATGAAAGTTCAGAGCAAATATGTCCCTCGGGGCACTAAGGTGTTCCTGACTCAATGCATGGCATTTTCAATTGCCTCATACGAGACATATTAAATTAAGGGTCCAGTCCCCTAGCGGTAGCTGCCAGCTTTCCGTATTCCACAGAAAGCCAAGAAGGACAATCTTACACACAAATCTCTGAGAAGGTGAGGAGTCAGGCCAGAGTTAGGTCAGCAAAGCAGTGTGACCCTTGGGTTCCCGCTCTTACTGGAAAAGAACAAGACAGCTACTTCAGGGTGGTGCCAGGGGGTGGGGCAACCATATCCTAGACCTGGTCTGCCTGGCCATCACTTGGGCCAAGGTGGGCATGGGGGTGTAGTCCTACCCGGATATCATAGTGGTCCTTCAGCCCATCCTCCACATGGTTCAGGAACTCGCAGATGTCCAGCTGGCCCAGGCAGCTCTCGAGCAGCGAGTACATGCATTCAAAGGCTGCCTTCCGCACATCGAGCCCGTCGTCCACTGCATGCTTAAAGGGTCCCATCTCTACCTGCAGCAACAATTAGGAGATGTGACCCCAGGGTGTGAGAACACCTCTCATTTCCCATTTCTCACTCTAGTCCTCCATCATTTAACCCTGTGAGCCATCCCCAAATCAGGCCCTATCCTTTCGTGTCCTTGCCTTTGCCCAGCCTGCTACCTCAGTGCCCACCCTCCAAAATTAACCACTCTGAGAGTAATACTTGCTACAATTTACTGAGACGTTATTACAGGACAGGTGCCACTGATGAGTGCTGAAGTCAGAGAAAAGCTTACTGAAGCTTCGCAATAGCCCTAGGAAGAACGTCTAGTTAGTGGCTGCTTTGACAAACGAGGAAGCTAAAGGCAGCAAGGTTAACGATCTTACCCAAAGACACCAGAGCGTGAGAGACCAGACTGAAAGATCAGATCTCTGTGTTTTATGTGTATCTGTGTATGTATGTGTACACGTCTATGTGTGAGCTGTGATATGTAGGACACATATGTACACACAGTGGAATACTGCTCCATGAAATTCTGATGCATCCCACAAACAGAGGTGAGCCCTGCAAACAGCGTGTAAGGCGTCACAAAGAGCTCATTGCCCAGGATCTCACTTACATGAAATAAGCAAATATATATGAACGGAAGATTATCAGTGGTTACCGGAGGTGGGAAGAAGAGAGTAAGGTGGGATTTGCGGGGTGGGTGGTGGGTTAGGGAAGGCCTCAGGTGGTGGATTACCTTGGGAAAAGCCAGTGATCATGGTTGTATAACATGAAGAAGGCCGTCAATGTCACTCAATTGCACCTGTAGCAACTGTTGACTTGGGAAAACCAAACATAAAAAAACCCCAGATCTCTCAGACTATGCTATGCTTTTAACGGTAAACTTCTACTTACTCCTCAAAGCCCAGCTCAGATGTCCCCATTTCAGGAAACTTTTCCAACCTCTCAAAGCCGAGTCCTTTCCCCATCAGACCTTTTTATTACATTGTGGGATAACCTGCCTGTTTAGTCACCTTTTATCCAGCCCCTTAAATCCTTACTGCCCCAGGTGGAGTCTAAATAAGTGACGTAATTAGCAAGGTCGGAGTCCACCTTCTCCAGGAGGCCATGGTAGAAGCTTTACCTGCTTCAACCCCGAGTCCTAGTCCTGGGCCCAGATGGGAACCTCTGTTGAATGATTCATAACACAAGTGAACCCAACCACATGCCTGGAACAGCTCCAAGCACACCTGAGTCTATACCCAACGGCCCTATGATGCTGACACCATTCTGGTCCTGACTTTGGCATGAGGAGAAACTGACGTGCAGAGTGAATGAGGTTGCCCAGGCCAGGGCCATGCAGCTGGGAAGTGGAGGGCAGGACTAAATTCAGGCCATGACGCTTAGCGTCCACTCCGTGAGCTTCAACCTTGTCCTCACTACAGCCCCCTACCAGTTAGCACACAAGGTGGTGGCACGCTGGGCTCCTGACAAGTTGTTCTCACACCCAGACCTCCAGCCCACTCCTGCCTGGCCTCACCTCCCGGATGAGGTCCCGGCGGACCTTCGTCTCTTGGTAGAGGAGGGGCAGGATATGGCCCAGCAGGTCCCGAACAAGTGAGGGCTTGTTGTGCACGGCCGAGTTGAAGAAGGCCAGTGTGGCCCGGCGGACATTCAGGTCCGGGTCCTGCAGGCTCTCCATGAAATCTCCTGGCAGAGGATGAGAGGGAGCGTGAGGCCGGCTCAGCAACCACACCCAAGAGCCTTACACCTCCACGAACTATGAGGGCCACAAAAGAGACCCCATCTGAAATATAATTTAAGGAGAACATTTATTGAGCCATAAAAGAGATACAGATGCATCATCCAGTTGAGGGAGGCCATTAGCATGAGGTTAAAATGATGCCCAAGGATTGGCAATTGGGAAGCTAGATAGGAGGGAGGGAGGGCAAAGGAAACTGTCACAAAAGCATGACTGCTGGCAGATCAACCCATCACGGTTACCAGTGGGACTAGGGAAGCAGGCGCAGCACCAGGATGGGGATGAGATGGACATTGTTAGATAGAAAGACTTACAAGATTGGTCCAGG